TCTGTAGTTCTATTCTATTCTGTAATTCTATTCTGTAATTCTATTCTGTAATTCTATTCTATGTCTTATTCTGTTCTATTATCTGAATGTTTTTAGCATTTTTATTGTTTGAAAATGTTTTTAGTAGTTTTAATTGTAATGCATTTTTCTGAATCATAAGCCACCCAGGGTCATTGACTGAGATGGGCGGTAATAAAAACTGGAGAAAGGAATTATTGATTTTACAAAGGAAAGTCATGCTATGAGCTATATTTAATTCCATACATCTATGCCCCACAAATGACATAAAATCTAATTTTGTCCCTGTCCTCACCTCACCTATTCTTGTCCTTCGAGAAGTTGCTTAGCTCTGCGGGAATGCAGAAGGCCTCATTTTTCTGGCTTGAAAGTAGTAGATAATCAGGGAAAGAATGTTCTACCTTTAGATCTTTTTAAATTTTATTTTAAGTTTTCTTTCACCGGATCAGTAAATTCCTGGACATGCTTTGCCCTCTTGAACTGCTTCTTACAAACCGCAGGAAGCATTAGTACCACTTTATAAAGTCTTAGTAAGACCATACTTGGAATACAGCGTCCAGTTTGGGTCACCATGTTACCAAAAAGATGTTGAGACTCTAGAAAGAGTGCAGAGAAGAGCAACAATGGTGATTAAGGGCCTGGAGACTAAAACTTATGGTTGCAGGATTTGGGTATGGCCAGTCTACATAAAAGAAGGGCTAGAGGGGAATATGATAGCACTATTCCAGTATTTGAGGGGGCTGCCACAAAGAGAAAGGGGTCAACTTAGTTTCCAAAGCACCAGAAGAGAGAACAAGAATCAATGGATGGAAACTAATCAAGGAGAGAAGCAACCTAGAATTAAGGAGAAACTTCCTAATAGTGAGGACAATTACCCAGTGGAATTGCTTGCCTCCAGAAGTTGTGGGTGATTTATCACTGGGTTTTTTAAAGAAATTGGACTAGAGAAGAGCAACCAGGATGATTAGGGGACTGGAGATTAAAACATATGAAGAACGATTACAGGAACTGGGCCTGGCTAGTCTAGTGAAGACCAGGGGAGACAGGAGAGTAGTCTTCCAATATTTGAGGGGCTGCCCCAGAGAAGAGGAAGGGGATCAAGTTATTTTCCAAGGCAACCAAAGGCCAGACAAGGAATGATGGATGGAAACTGAACAAGGAGAGGTTCAACCTGGAAATAAGGAGGAATTTTCTGACAGCGAGAGCAATCAATCCATGGAACAGAAGTTGCCCTCAGAAGTTGTGGGAGCATCATCACTTGAGGCTTTCAAAAAGAGATTGGATTGCCATCTGTCAGAAATGGTGTAGGGTCTCCTGCTTACATGGGGGGGCTGGACTAGATGACCTACAAGGTCCCTTCTAACTCTGATTATCTATAATTCCAGCTCTATTCTGATTGATTGAATGATTGAAATAACCTCTGCACACTTTCCAGAGTCTCAACAAGATCTAAATCCGCAGATATCTTTTGAGCGCTCCAGAATTACTGGAATTACATTATTTTTAAAACGTTGCCTGTGGCTTTAAAATGTTACAGCAGCTGAATTCTTAAGAATGAGCTCACCAGGCCAGTCTGGAGTTGGCCTCTCTTTGAAATGCAAAAAGTTTGGGGCGTTTGATATAGATTATCTCTTTTTCTCGTCTTTCTCTGTCACCAAATGTATTCATCAGCTGTGCTGGCCAGACGGTTTTTGTTAATTTATTCCAAAGTTGGGCCCTTCATAAACTTCAGCGAGGCTTTTAAAATTCCAAAGGAGAAGGAAACTAGCATCTTTTAAGATAAGGGCAGAATGGCAGTTCAAAGGCAGGTGGGCCTCATCACAGGAGGAGGGTGAAACGCAAGCTGGGGAATCCTATATAAACTTCATTTCCCCTTCTGCTAGTGACTGTTAAATAGATCAGTTATACTTCCAGGAGATAAAAACAGAATGTAACCGAATAACAGAGTTGAAAGGGACCTTGGAGGTCTTCTAATCCAACCCTTTCCTGCTCAGGCTGGAAACTCTAAACCAAAGGGGTCTTCAGACTTGACAGATTTAAGACTTGTGGACTTCAACTCCCAGAATTCCTCCTCCGGTCATGTTAGCTCAGGAATTCTGGGAGTCGAAGTCCACAAGTCTTAAAGCTGTCGAGTTTAAAGAGCCTGGTGCTAGAGTCTCAAGTGTTTCTCCACCTTGCCAAGTTTAAGATGGACCTTGACTCCCAGAATTCCCCTGAGATACTTCTTGAGAAGGTTTGAGGTTGAGAAAGACTGCCATAAGACTTGTAACCCTTAAAGCAAGGGTCTTCAAACTTGACAGCTTTAAGACTTGTGGGCTTCAACTCCCAGAATTCCTGAGCTGGAGGAGGAATTCTGGGAATTGAAGTCCACAAGTCTTAAACTTGCCAAGTTTGAAGAACCTTGCCCTAAACCAGGGGTCTTCAAACTTGAGTTTTAAGACTTGTGGACTTCAACTCCCAGAATTCCTCCTCCAGTCACGTTAGCTCAGGAATTCTGGGAGTTGAAGTCCACAAGTCTTAAACTTGCCAAGTTTGAAGACCCTGGCCCTAAACCATTTCAGACAAATGGTTCTCTTCTTCTTTAAAACCTCCAGTTTTGGAGCACCCAGGAGGTAAGTCATTCCACTGATGAATTGTTCCAACTGTCAGGAAATTTCCCCTTGGTTCTAGGTTGCTTCTCTCCTCGATTAATTTTCACCCATTGTTTCTTGTCCTGCTTTCAAGTGCTTTGGAAAATAAGTTGACCCCCTCTTCTTTATGGCAGCCACTCAAATATTGGAAGACTACTAACACCTAGTCCTTCTTTTATTACAGTAGGCATACAGAGCAAATCTAAGGCATGTCAGTTAAAAATTAAAGCTTGCTTGCTTTCCTTCTTAAGAATCTCTAACTCGTTCATTTTTTCATCTGAGGTTACTACAGGAGAATCTGCAGAAAGGATGTAAGATGATGTGAAGTCCTGTCAGCATAGTCCCCAGTTTCCAATATTTTAATTGCAAATGGGAAAACAGCAGTTGCAATGGAAAGGAGAAGGCCAAAGGAGATTACATTCTCTTGGACTTAACACCCAATGGCCACCATACCTTTTTGGTCTTCACCGTCGAGACACAACAATCTCCGTCGTCATAGTTGCAAAAGGCTCGGTTGTTGACCGGATCGCAGTAATTGTCACCTCCAAAAGGCTGGAAAAAGAAGAAGAAAAAAGATGAGGGCAGTATTCAACTTGCTCATTAATGAACATTGGGAATCGGCCACAAATCTCCACCATGAAGACTCTGGAGAACGATAAGCAAGAGACATCAACATTTTTAGTGGGAAATCCAAATCTGTTCCAATTCAGCCATCCAGTTACTCTGTGAAAACAAGAGCACCCAATAAGTTTGATAGATTATTAATAATGATTTATTTATTTATTATTGTATTGAATTGTTCTGACCCAAACCTTGTTCCAAGGAAACAACCACGAAACAGAGGTAACAGCAAAACCTTTTAATGATTCTTTACAAATTCTGTTCCTTCACGGTTAAAAGGCTGTTTCGAACTAATTGTCTCTGATAAGAACGAGCCTTGCCAAGGTGGTGCAAGGCTGCCAAGAACACTAGATAAAGTTGCCAAGGAATATTTCAAACACAAAGAGTCTCCAAGCACCAACCAAGATAAGCCGAACGTCCACAAGGCTTGAGTGCAAAAACTTCTTTGCTTCCTGCAAAGAACTCCGGTTTCTCAGCTGGCTTTTATCTCTTAAGGGAGGGGCCATCACCTTGCAGCCTTACTCCCAAGTCGCCTGTGCTGCTGCAGCTGCTCTTTCCTTCAAGCAGCCCTGCACACATGCGCACTTGGCACAGGCTCCTCGGGGTCCTCTTCATCACTGCTGCCAGCCTCCACAACCTCCGAAGGCAGCACTCCACTCCCTGATGGTCCTGGCCCTATCCCTGCATCACACGCAGAGCCCTCATCCAAGTCCTCACTCTCCGAAACCTCAGCCGTCTGCACCTGCTGCCGGCGAACCACAACATGAATAGACTTATATGTGGGTATGTTGCTCCTTCGGCAAGCCTTCGTATTATCTCTTGTTGCCATTGCTTTTAAGATTCTCTGCAAACAGACTCCTGGTTTTCTGGAGTTGAAGGTAAATTTTGTTTCTTACAATAACCACTTATTTTAGCCATTTATTGTTTTAAGATCAGGGAGCACCAAACTCAGTCACTTTAACACTTGTGGACTTCAACTCCCAGAATTCCTACTTGCTGCTTAGGGAATTCTGGGAGTTGAAGTCCACAAATCTAAAAGTGTGCCTAAGTGTGTTAAATCATCACCCGGCATAAACGTGGAAAGCATGCAAGGCTGTGCGAGTTTTAGGTGACTACGAATGTTGATACATGTTCTAAGATCTCCATGTTTGCATTTGTGTCTTTGAGATGAATAAACTTGTGTTCTATAAAATAAAGTAAGATATGCTTTGAACCAGTTCTGTTTCTTTGTTTTCATTCTTTTACAACTCCACAGTGAGACTGGGTGGACAAACCCTTTTGTATTTAAACAAACATGGATCTGGTTGCTATGGCTAAAAACCGAAGGCCAAGGGATTAATTTAAATCTATAATTAGTTGATTTTGGTTAAAAAAAAACAACTATTTAGTCAACATTCCAATGATATCGCCCCCCCAAAAAACTGAATTACATCATCTTTTTCTTTTATGGGGAAAGCTCGAATTTTCTGCCTTTTTGCTTGGCACAGTGCCAGCTAGGGGCTGCGAAAAGACACGAGAGATGCAATGCTGCATTCCAATGATGCCGCCTCCCAAAGTGCATTATGTCATCTTTTCTTTAAGGGAGGAAGCCTGCATTTTCTCCCTTTCTGCTTGGCACAGTGCCAGCTAGGGGCTAAGAAAAGAATAGGCGACGTAATGCTGCATTCCAATGATGTCACCCCCACCCCACCCCCAAAGTGCATTACGTCATCTTTTCTTTTTTTGGGGGGAGGGGCAGAAGCCTGGATTTTCTGGCTTTCTCCCTGGCGCAGTGCCAGCTGGGGGCTGAGAAAAGACTAGAGTGATGTCATCAGGGGTGGGATTGAAAAATCCCAGCAACCGGTTCACTGCCCAGTTGTTGGGTGGGCGTGGCCGACCGGAAAATCCAGCAGGGCCGTTTTTCACCATCCCAAGGGTCTGGAGCAGGGATCCCCAACCTTTTCGACGCCGCGGCCCGGTTCCGGCGTCAGCTGGGCGCCGCCATCTTTTTTGACGAAAAATTGCTTTTTTTACCAAAAAAAGATGGCGGCGCCCAGCAACCAGCGGCCCGGTAAGGCTTGTTCCGCGGCCCGGTACCGGTCCGCGGACCGGCGGTTGGGGACCCCTGGTCTGGAGGCTTCCCTCGTGCCTCTGGGAGGGTGGAAACAGCCTCCCCTGGGCTCTGGTGGCCCTTCACAGAAGCCAGAAACAGGACTATTTCCAGACTTCTGGTACTTCCGGAAGGCCCATTTTCCCCCCTCCCAGAGCCTCTGCGCAGACCCTGCACTTTACCTGCATCCAAAATTGGTAGCGTGGAGACTCCTGGGAGGGGAGAGGAGGGGTGGTGTGGGTGGGGCCAGCCGGTCAGTTCAAATCCCGATTCGGTGAACCCGATGCAAATTTAACAACCGGTTCGCCCAAACCGGTCCGAACCGGTAGAATACCACTCTTGGATGTAATGCTGCATTCCAATGACGTCACCCCCAAAGTACTTTTGTCTATTCTATTCTATAGATATATGGATGGATGGATGGATGGATGGATGGATGGATGGATGGATGGATAGATAGATAGATAGATAGATAGATAGATAGATAGATAGATAGATAGATAGATAGATAGATAGATAGATAGATAGATAGATATAGATAGATGATAGATAGATGATAGATAGATAGATATATTCTGTACTGTTGTTTATTCTATTCTATTGATAGATGGATGGATGGATGGATGGATGGATGGATAGATAGATAGATATAGATATAGATAGATATTCTGTACTGTTGTTTATTCCATTCCATTCTATTCCATTCTATTCTATCATTTTCTTCCATTCTGAACTGAATGGAAGAAGCTTCTTGGATGAAAAGCTACTAAACGTTTTCAAAGCAGGGGGGGAGGGGACACCCAAGAAAATCCAGCTGCCTTTTGGGAAAGCACCTCTGGGACATCTGTAACCTGGACCCCATAAGATTGGGCATCCCCTCAGACCTCCCCCACATAAGAAGAGCTTCTAATTGTGGAAGGGATGCAGGCGAAGCTCCTTGAAGGTTTAATGAGCTGCGATGACCTTGAATTAAGCAGGGTTGAAATCCTAGAATAAATTCCTTCAGAATAAATGCAATTTGATGCCCGAATCGATGCCTGGAGAAGCGATCGGATTTCTGTTTCAAAGAGTCTGAATCGTTCTCTCCCGGCAAGGTTTTAGGCCTGGATTTCCTTCATGGAGCGGAAAGTAGGTGAACAGGACCTCAAATGTCTTTTTGACACCTTCGTTCCTTTTTTCTGCAATCCTTTTCAATGGGAGAGTTGTCCCACTCCCTTTCTCCAATGTTTTTTTTTAAGGAAGCTTATCTCATCCTCTCCCGAAAAGGGGAAAAAAAAACACCAACAACCCCAAACAACCCTTCCTTCTAACAGCTTTTAAACGGAGCACGTGCCAGAACCTTTTCTCCAAAGGATGAGTGAGAAAAGATTCTTGATTAAATCTTGCAAGGGGGGTAAAAAAAAAAATTGTATGAAACCCAGAGCTGTCCTTGTGCACGCACGCACACACACACTCATCCCTCAAACAAGCAAGCTATTTTCAAGGAGATGAGTTAAGTGCAAAACGTAAACATCGATCTATTAATGGCACAGTGAGACAATTTTTAATCATAGGCCTCAAATACCTTCCTTCTTGCCTGCTGTGTTAAAAAAAAATAATGATAATCATTAAAAAAAAAAAACCCACCCTTCCACTTTTTTTTCTTGTGTGCCTTCGCTCTTCAGGAGAGACTAAAACTTGTGGGTAATTTTTTTTTTTTAAACTCGAGGAAACGTGTGAAAAAACATGATGTAAGTGTAAGCAGGAAGCTCGGAAGTGAGAAGAGATGATGATGATGATGATAATAATAATAATAATAATATTTTTTTAAAAAAAAAGTGAAAGAGGAGAAAAATGTGGGTTTAAACGTTTCGAGTGGGCACTCCACCTTGGTCTGAGGCTGAGATTTGATTCGGGATTATACCAGAAAATAGATGAAACACACACAGAGAAATATTCCATCTTGAATTAGTCTTAATTCCAAAAAGTTAATAGACTAATTCCATGTCTGTTTAACAAATCTATCCTTTTTGCATATTTTTTTTGTTTTGAAAAGCTAGCCACTTTAGAAGGAGATGTTGGGATTCATCTGCCTTCTTCATTTTAAAGCAAATGCATACATTTCTTCAAAGTGTCTTCTATTACATCGTGTAGATCTGAATTTACTGAACAAATTAAAAGAATGGGTTAAAGATAAAAGCTTTCCTCAAATTCTATTGAACCCGGAGAACCTCTTAATATGGAACTGGTTTTTCACCGTCATCTTTGAGAACTTCTTTCTCTCTCTCTCTCTCTTACATCCCAGGCCTAGTTTGCTTTCCTGAAATTTGCCCCATCCAAACACAAACCAGGTTTGATCCTGGCTTTACTTTGGGAGATTAGAACAAGTCAGCGAGGTTTTGCTACTTACCGGAGTTGAGGGAAAGATATTTAAAACGAACAAAGAATAACAAGTGCATGGAAGGCCACCATCATGGATTATGGTGGTGAAAGGGGAACAATGGAGCTGACAGAGATGGAGAAAGAGAGAGACAAGATCTGTAGTGGGAAACCCAGAGAACTGGACTGGCTTACTCACCTCGCAACCTTTGATGCAGCGAACCAACGAAGGGCAAGGATACCACTTAAGTTCTCCCGTGCAGACCACTTTCTAGAAGATGAAGAAGGAACATATGGAGAATGAGGAACATCAACCTAAGCAAGGTAGAAATTTTGTTCTTGATCCAGGTCTAAATCTTCAGGTGGTCCTTCCTTAAAAAAATCAAATCTCATCTTCCTGTAGGTTTGGTGCGTTTCAGGACCTGGAATTCCTCCAAGTATTTACAAGAACGGTTAAACACCCACCGGTTGCAATAACAGAAAGCTTGAGATTAAAATAATATTTAAGGTTCCACCATGGTTGATATTTCGTTTGCAAGAGGGAGGGGAGGCTCTGCGGTGGAAAATAGAGACAGGCAAAAGAAGGGGGGGAAATGTTGGAAATGAGGTCAAAAATTTTCCCCTTCCTACTATTAGCACAAAGAAGGGTTTTCTTAAAGTGGTCATCTACGTACATAAACACTTTAGGAATAGGGCAATGGATATTTATGTACGTAGATGACCTCTCTAAGAAAAAGTGTAGGAAATATTAAGCTAAAGAAACATATGAGGAATGGTTGCAGGAATTTGGTATGTCTAGTTTAATGGGGGGGAAAACAGGACCACATTGGATCCTAAATAAATTTAGTTGACTTCCAGTATTTGAGGGGCTGCCCCAAAGAAGAGGGAGTCAAGCTATTCCCCAAAGCACCTGAAGGCAGGACAAGAAGTAACGGGTGGAAGCTAATCAAGGAGAGAAGCAAACTAAAACTAAGGAGGAATTTTGTGACAAGAACAATTCATCAGTGAAACAACTTGCCTCCAGAAGTTGTAAATGCTCCAGCACGGGAGGTTTTCAACAGCCACTTGTCTGAAATGGTATTAGGGCTTCCTGCCTGAGAAGGGGGTTGGATTAGAAGACCTCCAAGGTCCCTTCCAACCTTATCATTCTAGGTTTTGTACGTTCTAGCTAGATGAAGTTCACTCAACAGACTTCCTTAGACTTGGAAGGTTTTCTTGCTGGGGAACCTCTCATCGCTGCATCAGGCCCAGTGTCCTGCCCCTGGTGGAGACTGACTCTGAGGGAGAGGAGGAACAGCCGACGGAGACTGGAAGTGTGGCTCTGGAGGTTGTGGAGGAGACTGGGGAAGGGCACAGGCTGTCTGGGCAGTCAGAGGAGGACCCAGGCCCATTCCCGCTCCATCCTAGGGCACGCAGGGAGAAGAGGATAAGGGAGAAACGTCAATGGCATGGTCTATGGGGGAGGAAAGGCCCTTGATCTCCTTCATGGGCTGCAGCTGCGACAACTGAATAAAAGTATGGACCTGTACTGGCAAATGCTGGTAACAAAGCATGTAAATATCTCTAGTTTATAGTTCCTCTCTGAGTTTGGTGTCCTTCCTGGTGTGTGTTATCCGTGGACGTCCTCCAACCCTTATCTTGCCTGGTTTGTGTTGCTTCTTCCCTGTGTGGGAGATTTTTGTCTTCTGTCAAGGATATTCAGAGATTGGAAGCAAAGTGAAGGAATAAAGGGGCTTCACCTGTGACTGTGTTTGTTTTGTATCCCACCCTGGGTCATCACACCCAGTGTTATGAACCACACCAGTGACCGTCAAGCAGGGGTTGGGCTAGAAGACCTCTGAGGTCCCTTCTAACCCTGTTATTCTGAAGACCTGAAATAGGGGAAGGAGCCGTAGTTAAAACTAATGTACATTTGTTTTTTCCTGCATGGCACCTTTCCCAAATTATTAGTGTTGGCCATTGTTGTAACTATGTCTTACTTCCCCTGTTTCGGTGAGCGTTATCGGCCACCTCGGTCTGCTTTCCAAAAGATGCAAAGAACAGTGCAATTCAGCGGTTTAATTATAGTGCCATTTATTTATTTATTTGTCACGAAGAAAGCCTTGCCTCCTTTTCCGTGAAGGAAGCAGAGAACTTTACAAGTGGAGATGGCGAGCTGACGCTCAGGAGCCATAATTTATCTTTCCCTCACTTTATTTGAGGTCTAACGCTCTGTGCGTCTGTGTGTGTGTGTGTGTTTGGTGTTGCTCATCGGAGGCTGTTTAAGTCGCTCGTGTGGTGGGGCTGTTGACTTTTCCGCAGCACAGTTTTTTGTTTTTTTTCCCGTGTGACTCAGGGCCCCAAATTGTTCCACCTGTCTTAAAACAGGTCTGGTTTGTGCAAAGGCAGTCCAGGGGAAAGATGGACCATGGTGGGTAAGAGGTGAAGGGCATCGTTTTGATAATCCCATGGTCAGGGGAATTTCTATTGGAAAACAGAAAGGCTGTTTTTCCTAGCCAACAGGAAGGCAATGGTGGGGGTTTCTTTTTTTTGGGGGGGGGCTTCTTTGCAGCTCAACTTATTTCACATTAGGACATTGGATTTGATTTTTATTGGAAATAAACAGAAGGAGGCTGCAATTAGGGGCAAACAGGTGAGCGCCAGCTGGTGGAGTTTGGAAGCCAGGGTGTAAATCTACTAGGATTGTAAGTTAATGTCTCCACGTGTGGTCCAAAAAACCCCCCAAGGAATTGCCTAAATCATACTTCCAACGGGAAAGCATGGTTTCACACTAAAGCAGCTCTCATTTCCTCATGGATCTGTGTGGTACTGTTTTCCCATCATTAACAAGAGACTGGACTACCATTTGTCAGAAATGGTGTAGGGTCTCCTCCTTGGGCGGGGGGTGGTGGGCGGGGTTGGACTAGATGACCTACAAGGTCCCTTCCAACTCTTTTAATCTATCTATCTAATCTAATCTATCTAAACTCCCGCACCGTCCTGATTTTTTTCCTCTGTAGCATCTGGACTTTGAGCATCAATCTTTCTCAAAAGGCCAGCTTTTCTTTCTGTATGAGTCATCCCAAAGTTTGGATTCATTGCTTGATTACAGAAGGAATATTCAGGATGGTTGTACAATTTAAATGGGTTTTTTTGGGGGGGGGGGGGGATATAATCCTAGACTGGAGACAGGACAGGATTCAAAACAGAATCATTTGCAGGGTCTTTGGTGCTCTCTGAAATTGGTTGCATTCTTGCCAATGTTTCATCACCCAAACTAGGTAATATTATCAGTACTAGAAGGGAGTGGGGTTTGGAGGAGGAGGAGGAGGAGAAGGAGGAGGAGGAGGAAGAGGAGAAGGAGGAGGAGGAGGAGGAGAAGGAAGAGGAGAAGAGGAGGAGAAGGAAGAGAAGGGGAGGAGAAGGAAGAGAAGGAGAAGAGGAGGAGAAGGAGAAGAGGAAGAGGAGAAGGAGAAAAGGAGGAGGAGGAGGAAGAGGAGGAGGAGAAGGAGGACTGTGGGGTCCTTGATGTTTTCTGAGCTTGGTTGTTTTCTTGCAAAGGTTTCATTAGCCAAATAGACCAGCACCGATGATGTTACTTAGTTTGGGTAATGAAGCATCTGCAAGAAAACAACCAAATGCAGAGAGCATCAAGAACCCCTCATTTCAACCCTGAGCTACACATATTCTCCTTTGTAAGTATCAAAATTATTATTTTTCTTTGGCCATCAGCTCCACCAGATATCTTGGACAGTTTATTAGCGTTTATTAGTTCCAGCCAGCATGGTCAGGAACTCTGCAAGTTGCAATCCCAAGTGCCCTGCAAATTTATAGTTAAGCTTTCAACTTCTCTTTGGTAGGACCTATGTCGTCACCATCGCCAATAAACAAAGATCTTTTTTTTCCCCCCGCTGTACAAAACTCCTCCATCTTTGGTGCCTTCTCCGAGGCCTCCTTCTCTCCTCCTTTTTCCTTCTTGCCATTGTCCTTGGCTAAGCTCTCATCCCTGGAACAACCCTCAATGATGGCCTCCGAGATGCCAGTTTGCAGCATCTTGGGGTTGACCAGGATAAATAGAGCAGACCGCAGTCTGGACAAACAAGGTCAAGAGCAGCAAAGGAAGTTGAGGTCAAAGAATACCACGAGCCCCAGGGACACTTTCTGTGTGTGTGTGTGTGTGTGTGTGTGTGTGTGTGTGTGAGAGAGAGAGAGAGAGAGAGAGAGAGAGAGAGAGAGAGACAAACATCCCATGCATTCAGCGAAAGTGTGTCCCCATCCTGTAATTTTATCCGGCAGCCTCTAAACGGCTTTTTCTGAACAATTGAGCGATCAAATTCATTGTCACGTCGCCTAACCTTTCTGTATGTTCAGCAAACCTCTCGTAATGAAAGCAATTTTTTTTTTTTTTTTTGGTATTCTGGATGAAATCATCCTCTCCTTGCATCCCCCTCCCTCCAAATCCTGCCTGCTTTCCCTTTCTTTCCTTTTTTTTCACCTCCTTTTTAATACCAGGTTTTTCCCCCCCTCCCAGCTACCTAATGAGACCTCCAGGGATACATAGGTATAAAATAGCGTTATGGTTTGTTCTAAAAGCCAGCATCAATAAAGGACCATGACAGAGGAGTGGGGAGGGAGGGAGGGAAGGAAGGAAAGAAGGAAGGAAGAGAAAGGAGAGAAGGGGAAAGAGTTGAAGGGATGAAGGGGGAGGAGGGAGAGAAGGAAGGGAGAGAAAGGTGGGAAGGGGAAAGATGAAGGGATAAGGGGAAGAAGGGAGGAAAGGGAAGGAAGGAGGGAAGGGAGGGAGGGAGGGAGGGAGGAATGGAAGGAAGGGAGGAAGAAAGGGAGAGAAAGGAGGGAAGGGGAAAGAGTTGAAGGGATGAAGGGGGAGAAGGGAGAGAAGGAAGGGAGAGAAAGGAGGGAAGGGAAAAGATTAAGGGATGAAGGGGGAAGAAGGGAGGAAAGGAAAGGAAGGAGGGAAGGAAGAAAGGAAGGGAGGGAGGGAGGGAGGGAGGAAGGAAGGAAGAGGAATGGGTTGAAGGCATGAAGGGGAAAGGAAGAAAGGAGAAAAGAGAAGGGCAGGAAAGGGGAAAGGGATGAAGGGTTGAAGGAAGGGGAGGAAGAGAGGGAAGGAAGGAATGATGGATGAAAGGAAGGAGAAAAGAGAAGGGAGGGAAGGAAGAGGATAGAGGGAAAGACTTACTGTATTGAAGAGCAATTAACCCACTGATAGGAATAACACGTTTTCTCTATTTTTTTTTTGCCAACCCGTCTTTGTACCGTGTTTTTGGACTCTTACCTTTACTCGTGGAGGCTTCATCCAGTGTTGGATGTCCTGTAATGTTTCATTGGCAGGTAACAAGATGGGCTCAGTGTGATGTTCCGAGCATAAGATAGTGCATTCAGCTCCTTGAATGGATAAAAAAGAACAAGAGGAAAGCAATGCATGTCTTCCTGTTCAACTAGGATTAAAAAACAACACCACAATACCGGCTCACACATACTACGCTGGCACTTACACACTCCTTGAGGTTAATACTTCGACAGCCTCTATTCTGCAAGCTGCCTACTATTTTAATTGCCCCCCGAATCTTATTATTATTGTGGATACATAAGACAGGCGGTTTATAGCCTCTAGTAACAGATGTCAACACAGGAGTAAAACCTGTTGGTAGCTCCGAAGGCGCTCATTCAAAAGTATGTATCAAACAGATCGATTTGCCTGCTTCTATCATTCAGAAGGTGACTCTATGCTCAGGCTAAACTGGGAAGGAGGTAAAATCCTGAATATAAGCTACTTAGGGGAAAAAAAGGGAGACCAACAGGAGGGATTAAATTTTTCTAATGTAGGTCCAACTTTATGGATTAAATCTGCCAGACTCGCCTTCAGAAGTTGTGGGTGCTCCATCACTGGAAGAAGAGTCTGCACAACATTTATCTGAAATAGTATAGGGTTTCCTGCCTGAGCAGAGGGCTGGACTAGAAGACCTCCAAGGTCCCTTCCAATTCTGTTATTCTGTTAATACTTATCTGTCTCCCAGAAGTTAGCTTGAACAGAGCAACCTCAAAACATGCCATTCTAAATTCTAAACAAAAATCCAGAAATAAGCTGGATTCTATCAAGGAATTAGCAAGCACTATCTGTGGGTTTGATCTACTTATAATCACTGCAAGCAATGGATCCTTGAGGAGGAATTAAGGAAAAGGAGGAGGATCCAGGAATTAAAGCATAAAGCATTCTAACAGTTCCCCCCAAGAGTCACCTCATAGAGAAGATGGAGGACATAGAAATTTCATAAATTATGAATAAAATAAATCATCAGAACTCTTTTGAAGGAAGGCTCAGATCCAGGGGTGGGTTTCTACTGGTTCTGTCCACCTCTGTAGAACCGGTAGCTCTGAAGAGCAGCAGACATAGAACCGGTTCTATGTCTGCTGATGTTTTTGTCCACCCGCCCACCCGGGCTCTTATCTGATCTTTATTTCCTGATTTTTCAACTTCAGCTGCTGAATGAGGCACAGCTGCAGTTAAAAAAGCAGGAAAAGAGGGCTGTTTCAAAGGCTGCTTCTCTGCACGCAGCGTGCTGATGACAACTTACAGGCGCACGGCTCGCAGAGTGCAGGGAAGCACATCATAAATCACCAAACTTCGTGAATCCCGAACTGGGAGTTAACCCTGTCGTATCCCACCCCTGCTCAGATCCATCAATTCTTCCCAGTTTAAGTTACTTCATCTTTAGGACCTGTCCAGGGTTCTGAAAGGAGGAAGCCTCTGGCTCCCTAACCTTCAGTTTTTGTTCTCTGGACACAAAAGAATAAATTTGATAAATAAATATCCCCTTGTTAAATAACAGCAGAATTTGTTTTTTTTAAATGTTACTTTTAAAATGGGGTTTTGTTCCTGTTCCACATCTGCAGTCCAAAAGGTTGTAGGACAAAAAAAATAATCACTGGAGGCTTTCAAGAAGAGACTGGACTGCCATCTATCAGAAATGGTATAGGGATCTTCTGCTTGGGCAGGGGGTTGGACTAGATGACCTACAAGGTCCCTTTCAACTCCGTTAATCTGTAATCTAAATGCTTAATTCTTAAATCAGGCAGAGAAGTCAAGTCTGTGGCTGCAGATGGAATTAGAGGAGGGGTCTCATTCATCACGGCAGAGATGCTGGACACCAGTTTATTCCAGTTTATCTGCAGGGATCCTCACTCTCTTTTATTAAAGTAATCCTTGGGACCATTCAGAGACATGCTTCCTCTAGAAAATGCCTCTTATAACCCCACAGGTTCAGGTAATCTTTATCCTAGGACTGCAACCGAGCCCAAAATTTATGTTGCAAAGTGAGAAACGGGTCAAGTGAGTTTGGCCCCATTTTACGACTTTGCAGTTCTGCAAATTAATAACACCGTTGTTAAGTGAATCTGGTTTCCCCATTGGATTTGCTGGTCAGAAGGTCGCAAAAAGGGGAGCGACATGACCCTGGGACATTGCAACCGCCATAAATGTGAGTCCGTTGTCAGATAACTGAATGCAAATCATGTGATCCTGGGGATGAGCGTATCCAACATCCCATCCTCTGCCATCCCCTTCTCCTTTTGCCTTCCACCTTTCCCAATGTGATGACCCGGGATGTGACACAAAGGCAACACAGTCAGACAATAAGTATGAGTTCCTTTATTAGCTCCAACTTTGCCCCCAATGTCCCGGTTATTCTCTGGTCTGAAGAAAAACTCTCCCATGAACCTGCAATAGCCTTTGGCTGCAGATATTCCAGTCCAAACATTGTAAACTGAAAACTTTAAACTATAAATCCAACAAGGCAAAATAAGGTAAATTAAATCCAGCAGAGCAGGATACGGAGTTCCAGAAATGAAGTAGCAAAGCAGTAAATCAAACCAATTGGGAGGATGTTAGGAACTCAGATAAAGCACAGCCAAACACAAGATAAACTCAACATTTGTTCTTGACAACCGCCACACCCATCTGCCTCTCCTTTAAACTCCATCCCCAGGTGTGCCTTGTGAAGGGAATCAGGGCCCTTTCCTCCCACGTAAGCCACGCAACCCACGTTGCTCTGTTCTCTGTTCTTCCCTGCGTGCCCTAGGATGAAGAGGGGTTGGGCCTTGGTCTTCCTCTGAACCCCCTCTCCCTTGTTCTACCTCTTTCCTGCTCTGCCCAGCCTGACTTTGCCCTTCCCCAGTTTCCTCCACAGCCAATGGAGCCGCTTCCCCACTCCCTGTCAGCTGTTACGAGAAGGGGGGGCATAACAACCAAGGTCTTCTCCAAGAAGACCTCTCTTCTCATTAGGTGGCCAAAATATTCAGCTTCCGAAGGTATTTGATTTCCTTCAGGATTGACTGATCGGATCTCCAATGATTCTTGTGCATAGGTGGCATGAAATAAACTCATAGTGGTCTTTTTTAACTCTATCCTGGCTCCTGATCCTAGGTAACAGCAGATCTCTCTCTCTCTCTCTGGGCACAATGAGTTATTATCTGCCTCGAACTCTGCATTGGCCACAGGAAGGGCATCCGGCCAGTAAACACTCAGCTCCATTCAATTGCCGCAACTCCACCCCGATGTAAGGGATTACGGGGTCACTAAAAGGGAGAGAGAGAGAGAAACTGATTTCTTATGCTTGATGCCAAGGCATCACTCACAAGGGACCATGGTGGGAGGAAAACAAACATGGCTGGGCTGAGTATAACCAAGTCAAAACGATAAAGATGGCGCAAGAAGAAGCAGACAATGCAGAGCACCCTTCAACGAGGCAAGACAATGAAAGGTTCTCCCTGCCTTTTCTTTCACCTCCTTCCACCTCTGAAATTGGAATTTAAAAAAAGGGGGGGATTTCTTTTCTTTCCCCCCTCCTTTCTCGTTCTTCCCGTCCTTTCCTCTCTGCCTCCCCGAAAAAAGCAAGTCAAATATCCTTTGCAAGTTTACCAGCAAAATTTGGCAGGTATCAAAGATGTCACCTGAGTCTCCAGAGAGCCAAACACATCGTCTTAGGAGAAAGGGAAAACAGCAGCCGCCTTCCTGCCCATTCGCTAGTGCTAGTGCAATTTACACTTAGGCAAGAAAAGCCAGTCCTGGAATTGTTTTGATATA